TGGACAATGGCAGCCAGCGTGCTGGCTTACCCACTTCAACTATGATGCTAGCCAGCGTGCTGGCTTTGCCATCTCAACCATGGCAGCCAGCGTGCTGGCTTACCCACTTCAACTATGATGGTAGCCAACGTGCTGGCTTTCCATCTGGACAATGGCAGCCAGCAAGCTGGCTTCCACTGCCTGTTGTCAGCCAGCAGGCTGGCTTCCACTGCCTGTTGTCAAAGGCACGTGTTAGTTGTACTACCAAGTCGCCAGTTCTCATCTTCCAGCTCCCCAGCTACTCCGCGCACTACAGTTATATACTACACCGTCGCCAGTTCGCAGCTACTACCCACTCGCCAGTTCTCCTCTTCCCATTTCCCAGCTACTCTCCATACTAAAGTTGTACTACCCAGTCGCCAGTTCTCATCTTCCCAGTCCCCAGGTACTCTGCGTACGAAAGTTGTACTACCAGGTCGCCAGTTCTCATCTTCCAGCTCCCCACCTACTCCGCATACTAAGGTTGTACTACACAGTCGCCAGTTCTCAGCTACTACCCACTCACCAGTTCTCATCTTCCCACTCCCCAGCTACTCTGCGTACTACTGTTGTACTACCAAGTCGCCACTTCTCATCTTCCAGCTCCCCCGCGACTCCGCGCACTACTAAAGTTGTACTACACAGTCGCCAGTTCTCAGCTACTATCCAGCTACTCTGCGTACTACAATTGTACTACCCAGTCGCCACTTGTCATCTTCCAGCTCCCCCGCTACTCCGCGCACTACTAACGTTGTACTACAACATCGCCAGTTCTCAGCTACTCCGCGTACTAAAGTTGTCCTACGCAGTCGCCAGTTCTCAGCTTCCAGCTCCACAGATTGCTCCGCGTACTAAAGTTGTACTACAAAGTCACCAGTTCTCAGCTTCCAGCTCCCCAGCAGCTCCGCGTACTACCGTTGTACTACCAAGTCGCCAGTGCTCATCTTCCAGCTCCCCAGATACTCCACGCCCTCCAGTTGTACTACCCACTCGCCAGTTCTCATCTTCCCGCTCCCCAGCTACTCCGCGCACTACTCTCGCACTACCACGTCGCCAGTTCTCCGCTTCCAGCTCCCCAGCTACTCTGCGTACTAGAGTTGCGTACCAAATCGCACTCTCGCCTGTGTTTCGCGCACTCGACACGCACGATCTCCGCAGAGGGTTGCGCGGGCAGCCGGCAAATCACACTCTCGCCTGAATTTCGCGCACTCGACACGCACGATCTCCGCAGAGGCTTGCGCGGGCAGCCGGCAAATCGCACTCTCGCCTGCATTTCGCGCACTCGACACGCACGATCTCCGCAGAGGGTTGCGCGCGGACCGGACAAATCGCACTCTCGCCTGCATTTCGCGCACTCCACACGCACGATCTCCGCAGAGGGTTGCGCTTTCGGTTGACGCTGTTCGTCCCACACTCCGCCTTTGAGAGAGAATTTATAAAGTGGGGAAATGTTTTTTCATTAGGACATCTCCCGTGCTAGTTTTCCATATTTTCCATACTCACACTTGCTTGCATACTCACACTTGCATACTTTGACCCTGGCATACTTCGCACTTGGATGCTTTCGCTCTTCCAGTGTGTGTGTGTGTGTGTCAGTGTGAGTGTCGAAGTGTAAGTGTGTCAGTGTGAGTGTCGAAGCGTAAGTGTCGAAGTGTCAGTGTTCAAAGGATTTTCCGGAAGAACCCTTCGCAATGCTTTCGGGAAAACTACTAGTAGATGTGTTCCTTAAAACTCACCCGAGGAGAAAGGCTTAGGGCCGGCCATAGACGTGTAAGCTAAACTGCTGACCCATATGATTGGTCCAAGTCCGTAGAGTCCTGAGCGATCCTTGGTGTGGTTTCCAGATGAAGAAGTGCACCTCCGACATCTGCGACTTCCCCGGAAACGCCG